CTGTTTGAATAATGAGTTAATAGTTCGTCAGAGCTAAATTTAGTAAGTATTAGAGGGTAAGAATTAACGTCAAGATTAGGATTATGAATAGAGTGAGGATTAAGATTAAGTTTAGGGTGTTCATAATTATTATTAACATCTTTTCCAGTAAATTAAGGACATTTTTTATGTTAAACATACTGGTTATTCTGATTAATCATGCTCAAGGTTAGTCATGCAATCGTATTGCTTGGATTACAGTTTTTTAAATTTACGACAGCTTGAACCAAGGCACAGTGGTCATTTGATGAACAGCTATTGCACACACAGTCCAGTCAGCTAGACGCTAGATAATTATCCTTAGTGTACATGATACCTTGTGATGTGAAATTCTTTCTTGATATTCAGGCATTTTAATCACTTTTTAATACTCTTTTAGGTATAACTTTCCAAGGTTACCTTAGTACTAAATATAAATGAACTCACATTATAACGAGACAATAGTACATAGTGCCTTTTCTTATATATGTATATGTATATATATAGACTTTTTGTTTTGTGGCTAGTAAAGCAATTTAATGTTAGAATAAGCCATTCACCGATATTGTATTCTTATAAGTGAGGAGTTCTCTTAACACCAGTGTAAACAACAAGATAGGGTCTGTTACCAGGTACGCTCTCACTTAATTAATAGAAGACACTGACTGACTGCAAATGACATGCTGCTAAATCATTCAAAAGACATTGGATTACAAACGAATTAATATTTGAACATATTTATACTAATGTATCCGAATAGACTAACAACATGTCGGTTAATTTCAGACAAGACAATTGGCTAAAATTATTATTGCTCCTTTAGGGTTCCCAGTGGAACATAGAGCTACAACATCACATCTCCACTTTCGTCTATTTTCTGCTGTCCGATTTAGCTAGGTCCACGATTGCCCATAATCTCTCCTATCCTCCACCCAAAACGATCTCCTCCATGTCACCCTCGCATCGACGACCCAGTCATCATTTCCTATCAGGATTCCATTCGACCGATGGCCTGGCGCGTGATGTCATTTAACGGCCTTTTCAAAGTACGCCTAATCCACCTCCATTTTCTCCTCCATATTTTCTGAACGATAGGTTTTTGCTCGGTTTGTTCCCACAGTTTTCTGTCGCTGATTCCCTCTGGTTGGCCATTTGATCTTTATTATGGAGCTAGTGAAGGTAGCTGTTGATAAAAGTCTACCACTAGCAGTTGGAAATACTTGCCGTGATGTGCCATGTTTCTGACACATACAGAAGAACTGATCTGACATTGGAATTGAAAATGTGAATCATGTTCTTTATGCTGAGGAGTGTAGAAGATTTCTAAACTAACTTCAGATCGATGAAATTGTACTTTGCCTTTCCAATTCTGGCTGACTGACTTTGACGTCTTCATCTTATCCGCCAGCCTGTGGTTGAAACAATTCCCACTGCTTAGATAAGTGAAGGAAATAACCGCATTCAGATCTCTCCCGTTGGTAGAAATTGTTGTTTGTTGTCGCTGTTAGTTGGTTGGTTATCTTCATCACATCTATCTCCACCTTCTCCGTGTTCACCTGGAGTCCTATATTCCCTGCCAGCCTCTTCAGCCAGTTTGTTGGTTTTCACCTGCAAGTCTTCGAGTTTGTGTGACATTAAACATAAATCATCCACACACCGAATCCAGGTCTTTTGGAGTCTCCTTGTCGATCCAGTGTATTCTTGTCTTCTCACTCCCACGCACAGTCTGACGCGTAATCCAGTTCACTACATTTAAGAATATCATCGGTGAAGACAGGAAGTCTTGTCTTACTCCTGTATTCAATTCATAGGCTTCTCTGGGTTTTCCGTTGGGGATCACCTGATACATGGCATTGTCATATAGCCAGCTGTTGAATGAGGTTGATACAGATTTGAGACACTTCACTCCGTAGTGTTGAAGTAGTTGCCAAATTATTTCATCGAAGGCATTTTTTTAAGTCGATGAAAGTGAAACAGGGATTTGATTGCTATTCTATGCTTTGTTCTGTGATGATTATGCGTAGAATTGCAATTCAATCAGTACATGGCTTATCTTTCTTGAATTCAGCTTGTTGTGGTCCAGCGGAATTCTGCATCCAGTGCATGTTTCATCCTCTCCAGCGTGGCGTGACTTAGAATTTTACTTGGAGTGAACAAGAGCATTATCCCAGGCCAGTTCTTGCAGAGGCTTAAGTCACCTTTCTTTGGCAGCTCGACAAGGTAGTCTTCCTTCCAATAAATAGTCACCTTTCCTTCTTTGTAAACTCTATGGTGTGAGAGCATCTGCCGCAGTCTCTAAGTCTGTTTCTAGTGCCTCAGGAGGAATCCCTTCCAGTTCTAATGCCTTCCCGGGCTTCAGTTAGCTTGACTGCATTCAACTTCAAATTATTTTCTTATGTCAGCAGATAATTTTTCCAGCCATTTAAATGCAAGTCGGTAGACTAGGCTTCAGAAGCGCAAATTTACCAATTAACACTTTTCAATGCAATTCAATACATTGATCATAACATATGCTTATTAGCTACAAATGCTCATTAAATACTACTTCGTTAATCGATTACTGATAAACGAACATAAAACTTTCCTTCGTTTCATAGTCAAATTTCTCATTTTACATTCTTGACATCTAATTCCTATTAAAGCTTTATTTAAAGTTCACTAAAACAATTGTACTAAATAAGTTAGGCCAGTAAACCTATATATGACTGAAATAATAGTAATTCTACACCCCCTCTGCTATCCTTCCACAGTCCTTAAATTAAGATTAGAATGAAAAGCAAACAATCAGTCTGTTTATCTTTTACACTAGACAGATCACTCTGCAACTCTTTTCATTATTATTGATATTTTTTCTCTAAAAAAAACTTTATTATTTAATCCATTTTCTTCAATTTCCAAAAGCATTCACTGCTAATGAATGTCATTTCATTCCGCCTACGAAAACTTAACGATAAAACTTTGACATTTGATCACTCATCCATTCGGAAAATTCCATCTTCAGACTAAATTGATTTATGAATGCGTAGCTTTAAAAAAAAATCAAGTTTGCAGAAAAAAATCATTATTATGGGAGCCAAAACTATACGACTTACATATACAATACACTCATTGTTAGCTGAATAATTATATTGCATTGATTGTGTTCTAAGCATTAATTAAATGGGCAAAGTTAAACTGTCAGCACGACTAACTACCAATCACTGAATGACCTTGAACGCACCAATCACACGAAGGAGACATTTCTGGGTATGGAATACACATATTTATTTTTAAAAATTCACAAAAACTGTATAAAAGTGTTACAGAGAATATCTTTCTCTCATCTGTGATAAAATCATCTCCCAGATTAGCATAGGAGTATTAATTGAAGAGTTACACCACATCCTATACAGAAATTCATCTAAGTGACTAAATGACATCCTTTTGAGATCCATTAATGGCTCTAATTGGTCTGTTTCCTTGTAATGCAATCCACAAAATCATTCGAATAGTTAACTCTGTGGTGAATATATCCAAGGGATGACAATGAGTTACAACCTTTCCACTCATCTGTGTGTATTATAGATCCTTGTTTCACCAGTCGAGTGATAATAGGTATTACGGTGCTTTACTTTCTGTCCGCTATCCTCTCGACGAATCGTTTATGTAGATAGGGCATCATATAAACCAATCAACCAAACATGATTCGCTCGTTCTCGACCACAGTCATATTTTTACCTTAATAAGACATTTTCATCCACATATACAACGACACCTTCTCCTCCTAATAACGAAGTGTACTTCACCATTTTCCAGGATGCAGTATCCCTGCAGTGCTAGTACCACTGAAGTGTTGATACGAGACTATTTTCAGTTTCAGCAGTTGCACCTCTCATAGACTACTTTAAAACCTAGTAATTACAAATATGCAACATCTTAGTTAAGGAAAAGTGGGACCTGGCAAAAAATCTTCCTACGAAATATTAGAATTATCATCTTACCCTACCGGATAATAACTTGTCTCAAACTAATTGCACAACGATGCACATATCCCTCAATCGACCTGCTAAACCTTGTTATTTTCATGACACCTCCTTTTCTTTCCTAATCAACCCCACATCCATGCAAAACTGGGAAACCTTATCTTCACCAAATTGCAAGCGGAAATACGTTAGAGCATGCATTTAACTCGAATCGAGAGGAATAGAAGCTTCAACTCATGTGGATGAGACCCATCGACCCATTCAAGGTTAATGGTGAGAACATTAGACATATATCATCTGTGAAATCCAGATTTTTTAGAGTTTGCTTATCGGTCGTCCAGTGTATTCCTGACTCCTCGCCCTCAACAGTCTGATACATAATCCAGTCCAACACAATTAAGAATATCATCGGTAATAGTAGGCAGTCAGCCTTGTCTTACTCATGTATGCACTTCGAACACCTAGCTGAGTTTTCCGTTGTGGATCTTCTGACATGTGTCACTGTCATATAATTGTTGAATGAGGTTGACAAAGACTTGAGGTACGCCATAGTGTTGAAGTAGTTTGCAAATTACTTTTCGGTCTACGCTGTCGAAGGTCTTTTCGAAGTCGATGAAGTTGAGGCAGAGGTTCCACTGCCATTCTATGCTTTGTTCGATGATGACGATGCGTAGAGATGCAATTCGATCAGCAGTGATCGCAGTGGCTGAGTGCTCTACGAGCTGGCTATAAAATCGAATGGTTATTGTGAAAGAATCTTTGATCGTTGCATAGGTAGTCACTCATAAAGCAGTCAATCACGCTGAGGAAACACGACACGCCTAACTATCTACCCAGAGAAGGTTACATTCTCATTCGAATATACCTGGCTGACTAGCCATCACATGGATGTTTTTGTGAATATTTTCATTTATGTATACCTAAAACAGATTACGACTTATTAAATTTCGCATTGCTAACCATTATATCTGTGCAGTTAACCATATTGTGTTTTTTTCATATTTTTGTTTAAATATTTAGATATACGCAGTGATCACATTCATTCTACAGTTTGTTGCACCATGTATGATAATATCATTATGTTACTATCGTGTGAGTTGTGTCCTACGATCAAGAGGTTCAACAAAAATTGGTTGTGGACCTAAAAGTCGTGAAAAAGAAGAACTTGAAGTGAAACGTAATCGTCGAACAAATCAAATGTTAATAGCAATGGTTGTTATATTTGTTGTCTGTTGGATACCATTAAATGTTCTTTGGGTAGTTGCTGATATCATTGGTGAAGTTGTTGAAAATTCAGTACACTTTCATAATACATTTATCTTATGTCATATGATTGCAATGAGTTCAGCTGTTTATAATCCATTTTTATATGCATGGTTAAATAATAATTTTCGACAAGAATTAAAAGCTGTCTTTCACTGTAATACAAATTTATGCTCTAAACAATCTTCTATGCATACAATGACTACAACAGCAGTACCGACAACAACAACAATCCGAAGACAAACACAAGCAAAAGCTATATCAGCATTCCATTATACTAACAATAATACTACCACTAATAATAATAATAACGCTAGTGATGATGATGGTGATGATGACGATCATATTGATGCGAATGACAATCGCCATGACTATGACCTTGACGACAATGCAAAGCATAAAACAAATAGTCGATTAAAACAAAATAAATCAGTGGATAAACAAAGGAAAGATGTAAATTATATGACGATAGCTGATGGTGATGGAGGTGTCTGGCAAGGACCTGTGTGTAATGAAGTAGTCAATCAAGAAGGGCAAACTCATCATTAACAATCTGCAGACGTCAGCATCGCCGTCATTATCACCACCTAACGAAACGATTTAACAAACACATAAAAAAAGACAAAAAACAAAAACAAGATTCTAAGATTTATAAGCTTAATAACTATGATGAGCTTATTTATATTTTTATTTACTGAAGTCAATAGCTGAGCAGTTATTTCTTTTTAACTAACAAGTTGTCAGCTTTATTTTGACCATGTTACTTACTAGGCTACCTGTTAAATATATAATAATGTAGGATTGATTTTATCCAATATATATGTGAACATTTCAATTCATTTCATTTCATTCAATGCAGCTAGTTTCCTTGTGTCTGCTAATAATTTTTTTGTTGTTCTCATTACTTCTTCGAGAGTATGGCATTTATATATTTGTCTACGTTTGTGTTTCTCCTCTCTCTCCCTTTGTCCCTTTGTGTGTGTGTGTGTGTGTGTGGGTGGGTGCGTGCGTGCGTGCAAGTGAGTATTCCTGTGTATTTATATATACATACATGAATACAATGAAACAGATTATTTTAACAATACTATTAATAATAACAGGAATACTAGATGAAGTAGATACGCTTTACTGTACCCTGATGACATAATAAAGCATTTATGCATAATTGTAAATGATTAGTCTGTAATTAATCCATTCATGATGATGGAATTTATCAATGCTTGACTAAGAAATTGTTGACTTTAGTTGTAAGACATTTGTTCTTTTCTTCGCCGGGGGGTGAGGGTTGCTGAGGATGGAATTTATTCATTATTTTCAAGTATTGGTTCTGTAGGGATTTTGATTGATTGCATAGAGGATTTCATCATGAGCTGACATCAGTTAAAGAACCACTGGAAAACATGGGAGTGCTGGACAACTGTTTCTTCCTAGTGTGAGACTCTTCAGCAGTACGCACCCACCGTGACACAACGGTCTACCAGCTCGCCTCGCAACCAAAAGGTCATGGATTCGAACCACAGTGGATGCGTACCGATGAAGAGTCCCAAACTAGGACAAAACAATTGTCCAGTACTCCCAGGCTTTTCTAACTGATGCAGCTCATAATGAAATCCTCCATGTATTCATTATTTCTTGCCTATGAGATTTTCGAAAATCGCCTAAAATGTCTACTGAAGATAACACTTTTCTGAACTGCATAATTTGAAATTAGTTTTAAAATGGGAGGAATACTCATTATAATAAGGGTTTTTTTGTATTTCCCAATGAATGAAAAACAAGGGGCGATATTGTTGTCTTTACTGACATTTTGCTATTAAATGCTGCTGCTAATAGCTTCATCAAAGTAGTAATATTAAACCAGAATCTACAAAATCTCAGCTTATATATATTAAATTAATCATCGTTCATCAGTATGGGGGTATTTTCACTTTGTCAAGTTGGCCAGTTGGTAAAGATAACAAAAGCAGGCATAGATTGTTGGATTTGATAAGTGTGCGAATCTATAAAAGCGGCATGTGTTTGCATAGGGAAATTGCTTATCACACCCGTGTTGATTTTGTCACTTCATGGGGGAGGTGGGTAATGTAACCAGGTCAAATTCTGTTTTAGCCCATCATTCCAATTTAGACAATTTGGATTCCATTTGATAGGAAGTGCTGGCTTCTGATAATTGGACGTTCTTTGTGATTTCTGAAATTTTTCTAGATTATTTCAACATTGTCAAAATCACATTTGTGGCCTGATTCTATAGCACAGCGTGGATGATGATTTTTCAAGCTTTTCTGGTTCACTAATTGAATTTCTCGGTGGTCGAATAGAGGCTGTTCTACGGTGTTCATTTCTTGTGATTTTGATTTCTCTCCAGCGATGTTTGTCCGATGTATACCGCATCACATTCCAAGTATTCTATTTTATAGACACAGTTAGATAGAGAATCTCTTGGAATTTGGTCTTTTATATGGACAAGGTTGTTTTGTAGTGCGTGTCTGATGTTTTGAAGAAAACTCTGTTATGTAGCTTATTGAGTAGTCTTCTGATATCGTTTGACGTCTGTGATCTGTATAGAATGGCAACTGTTGAGGTTCATGTTTCCGGAATACGTTTTCGATCATACCTAATGTCAGTGTTGATACTGTTTGGAACTTACACGAAAAACAAGTGTTTCTAAACTCAAGTTCTAAGTGGGTTGAAAAGAATAAAGAGGAATAGCTGTTTCATATGAATTAATGTCCTACTAAAATGTATAACTCGCTGGATAGAGGAGCCAAGTTTCAAACAGTAAGGGACTGGTACAAGTTGGAGGGGCTGTCTACCCATTGAAACCCAAGTAGCCAAGTAGTTTCTTAACCTTTGACACAAAGGGTGTAGTAAAACTGCCTACAAGGAGATAAGAGTTTAGTAAATAATAAGACAGCTCAATGTACTGAATTAATCTTCGTCAGATGATGTTGCTTAACCAATAATTATTCTTAAATGCTGTGTCACTCAAGTTGTGCGCGAACAGTGTTATCCCAGATTACATTTGTACTTTCCATGTCATCTCTTTACATCTAGTTTTTTTCATGGGCGTTTATATTAGCGACTTTAACAACTGCGATTTCCACCTGCCAATGAAACTAGCCGTTCAAAACACCATTGGATATCTCAAAAATTAGTAGACATTATAATATGCTCAGGTTGTAGTGAGAGCTGTCTGCAAGCCGAAAATTGTAGACAACAATTTACGTCAATGTTACGTCCCGAATCAGCGCCATGAGAAAAACAATAACAAAGCTTAGTCTTGAGGAACTCACCAGCCAATCACAACAGGCTTAAAGTGCGCAAACACAATTCGCAGATATATGGCTTAACTTTCTGAGAAACTGTCACAAGCGGTACAGAATAACCTTCAGCAAGAAAACAACCAATCAGAAGACTTTTCTTCTCCACTGACAATAATGTACATAAAAATCTATAATTATCTCTTGATGTTCTCAATAAACGATCTGTTGCCTGGCCCTTGTCTTCTATCGTTACAAGGTTATGTGCCCACACGAAAGAAATCACATCATGTTACATCGAATACTTCAGTTTATCAGACTGTAAACAGCTTTTAAAAAAGCAGACAATTTACAAACTGAAGGCTGTTGTAACAAAATAATTATTTGGCTTGTTCTAGTATACGTCGTCTGTATAGATAATAAACTTTCAGCAGAGAAACTAACACTGAATTGCACTTCAGCATAATGCCCTGTGTTCTGTTTTTGTGTATCGATTCACTGCCTACTCATCTCCCAACCTGTATAACCAGAGAATCTACAGCCTGTGACAAGTAGAACCGTTAGAGCTAAGTGAAGCATCTCTACTGTGTTCAAGTTTAACAGCACGAAAATAAATAATTGTAAAATGAGAACTGATTCTCTCCTTTACGTCAATTGAACACAAAACTAAAAGCTACAGTTATTAAAACTTGAAATTCTCAAGCCATAAAATAAATATTGTTTGGATAAAAGTGGGCTAAAAGTGATATCGATAATGCGCGTTTCATCCTTTATGAGATTTGTCATCTCGATATGTTAGCATTGTAAATGCATGACTGTATTCCCACTGAGATCAAAATCCAGAACTGTCAGACAAACAATTTCATCGCAATCTCCAGATATCGTTGAAACATGCAGACTAGTGCGCAAAGATTTTAACAGAAATCAATCATTTCGGGCCAGTATAAATCTATCAACAGAAACTTTTTTCACTACTGTATGTTCTGAGTGAGATATGTGGCTTTAGCCATCAAAGTTTCATTAGCGATGGTGTAATTTTTGCCACGGGATAGGAATGTCAGTCTCATGCCCAACCTTCCTTTTTTTCCAGACTAACTACCATCTATTAAACCAGTAGCTTTGGAGTGCATCGGTGGGGAATTGAGTTCAGACCTTCTGCATGAGAAATAAGTATCCTACTAGTGAAACACTCACGTACTAATTACATTCTTTACTCTATTTTTCACTTAAACTACTTAGTTTAAGTAAATCTTTCCCTGTGCTTGAAGTTTCTTTGGCGACTGGATTGATTCTACGGGGTAGGGTCGTTAGCTCGTTGTCCAAACTTCGCTGTTTTCAAGACTTGTGACTTGCTAGTTAAATTAGGCAAGATTAAGTGACTAGGGTAAAAAAGTAACAACAATATTTTTACTTGAGTTCTTAAGCATAAAAATAATTCTAGCTCTACACCAATAAATGGGATATTTAAAGATCGATTAGAAATATAAAAATTATTATTATTATTATTATTATTTCCTGGGGTTCCGAGTGGAACATATGGCTTCAACAACATATCTCCACTTTCGTCTATTTTCTGCTGTCTACTTTAACTAGGCTACGACTGCCCATAATCTCTCGTCTCCTCCTTGCACAATCTCCTCTATTTCACCCTCAGACGACCCACTTGTCGTTTCCCATTGGAATTCCACTCCAGTGATAGCCTGGCGCGCGGTGCCATTCCAAGAATTAAATTTAAATTCATATGAAGTCTGACCGCTTTATGACGCACTAGTGCCAATGGAAAGTAGGCCAACATGAAATAAAAATTATGTTTACCAAAAATTCTCAGAGATACTGAAATAAATAATTCTAACATTCCATTAGGCCAGCTCCTTTGAACTTCTTCAGGTGAATTTATATAATAATTGTCATGGAAGGACATGAGTGAGAAATTCATCAGAAACCATGATGTACAATCATAACTCCTTCCCTCTGTCCCCCCTCACCAACTAAGATCCACATACTTGATCAAAATCTAATATTCTGAATTAGACCTTCATTTGATTCACAGCATGGCGTCACCAGTATCAAATAACAATCGTCAACAACAAATACAAACAAAACTTTTTGACAGATAAATCAAATGCATAAGTAAACAGTTTCCTTCAAAAAATAAAAATTTACTTTTGAAATATTTTTTTACACTTGAATAACGACAGAAACTGAACTGGACTAACAGCTAATAATGATTTATTTTAGAGCACTTCAGTTTAGAAAACTGACTTAATTGCAAAACATTTTCTAATTCCTTGAGTTTAGTTATCATTGTGCTAAATATCTTTTTTCTAGATAGCTGAAATTGAAAAGACCGCTGAGTAAAATTTGAGTATTTTGACCTTGATAATCGATGAACCAAGTGAAATCTGATTATTAATTTGATTTTGTTTGTTGTTGTTGTCTTTTTTCTGTTGCTTTCTGTAATCACACGAAATGAGTGTCACAGAATTAAAAATTAATTACTCGGAAGAGGATACTTGAATCTGCTATGTCTTAAATGAGTCATTTTGTATCGAAATTTCTGCCATAAAAAACAAACAAACCATCATTTGAATGAAACAAAAATTGTTTTTAGTATTAAGGGAAGTGTCTTTGACAAAATTTAAATCAACAGACTGCCTGTTCAATGGATGCATTCAATCTAAAACATCAGTTCGCAATTTTTAGCCTTATCGGCAACCAGTGTCAGGCTGAACTTGATGGATCCCACTGGTTATGGCTTCTTACTAGAACTTCAAGCAACTTCGTCCTCAAGTTAATCAGTAGTTAGCATAAGATAAATTTTCAAGCGCCAGTCAGTAGGGTTTCGGTTAGTTTCAGGTTCAACAGTGGGTTG